GGAAAGGGGGGTGGGGGTAGAATAATGGTTGGGGTGGGATGAGTGGGAGTGACAAGTGGTGATTGAATGATGAATGTTGATAAGATAATACACACAGATGGGATAAGCAGGAAGGGGTATAATGTGAGGAGGGGTGAGTACAGATGTTGAGTGATGAGTGCAAGTAGTGATATGTTACATGAGTGAGCAATCAGCACTACTATTTTTTTTAGACTTGCGCTGTGAAATCAAATCGAAGAAACAAAACTAATTTGGTAAAATATAAAAAACTTAGGAAGGCATACATATATATATATATAAGTATTTTAAATCAATAATTTACAATAACGCATATCGATAAATCACAATTTCGTGCATAACAATATAAATAGAACTAATAAGAAATTAAGTGAATTAATAGTGCTTATGAATTATGTATACTATATCCATTATAGGGCTAGACAGAAACACAACCACTTATTATTACAAATATAACTATATATTTCATATCAACTTAAAACAGAAAGCCCAGCTCTCCTGTGTCCTACAGTTTACTGAATTTTTGGTTTAACAATAGCTTCATTCAAAAACATCCCAGCAACGTTTTCTTTTTTTCACAATAGCACAAAAATGGAAGCAATTAATAATGAGGACACCACTACACTAGAAATTAACATCCATCTGACATTAATTAACAACTTATACATATCATCATTTAGACGTTTAGCACCCCATGCACACATCTAATACACTGTATTAATTTAGTTACTGTAATATCATTGTAATATTATAAACAATTTTGAGAATAATAAGGTTTGATACATTAATTGTTTACATATTTCGGTCTAAAATCTTTAATAATATATATGCTTTAAAATCACATGTGATGTCTTTGACTTGTTATTTAATTTTTTATATTTTTTCATGAATTAGGCCTCTAAATTTTCTCAATCACAGTAACGACATAAAGTCTCGCCCAATTTTTTGTAGTACAGTAACACTTACTTAATAAACGAAAAATAATTATTTTTAGGTTTTCAATTTCTTCTACATTAAACAGCAAGTACACTCACCACTTAATGGATGCAACTATGATGCTATAAATGTGTCCACATATGGACATGAGTATACCATATCACATCCATATATGGGCATGAAAATGTCATATTATACCCATATATGGATATAATGAAGTTAAATTACACCCATATGGGATACTAATGTCATATCACACTCATATATGAGCATGCTGATCTGTCATAATGTTTACTATCCTAATACAATAAGTAAAGATAATAATATTAATAACATTAATAATAATACTAATTAATAATAATAATAAATCCAAATTTTTAATTGGCTATATTTAAAGATGAAAAATAAAATAAAATTTTGTTTTATATAGTATTTTTGTATATTTTATATAGTTTCCTTAAAAACAATTATTACTAAACACTTATCATTTGGTACATCTCTGCTTAAGTAGCCATCTCTTAACAGACATACAATATACTTGTACATTCTATTTTTAGCCTAAAGTTACTAAAACTAAAACATCAATACAGTAGGACTGTCGCATATCCTTAATGTGCGACACCTTTGATAGATGTCTGTTGGGATTAATAAGAACTAATCTCTACTTTTTTTTATTTATTGATTTTTTTAAATTATGTAAGAGGAGCATATAACCCAATCTATCCCAAATTTCTCTTTCCATAACATCTCTTTTAGAAACTAACAGAAAACACTTTAGCTTTATCAGTAATTAAATCAGGTTGTTAAATCAAAGTTCAAAAGTCATCCTTGTTTGAAATGACGCACATTCTATGCTGTAATTATATGCGATACACTAGGTAGTTAATCCTTGCAATAAAAATCAGTTACTTGGAACTATTCTAAAGTCCGGGCCACACTATGAAGATTTAAGTGACAAAATCCAGTGACTTGTCCATATATGGGTGATATCATCATTCACATATATGGCCAAATCATACATATTTGTCACAGAGCCTAAACTAATGACATTTGGGATTTAACCTGCATTTCTAAAACAGGGAAACAGCATATTAACACAGTTTTAGATTCTATTTTGGTAGAGAAACTAGCCATTTTGACAGCTTATCCATTTTAAGATCTCTAGATCTTAAAAGCAAGAATGCAATTTGGACTTTTAGTTGACTCCATATAAAACTTTGACTAACACAGAAGAGTATACTAATCCAAGTGTGAGTGAGGGCGCTATACTCATTTCATTACACGTAATGTGGGAAAGATGATCATGCAGCAGTCACTCAATATTGCATTTCATAAAGATATGATATATTTGAATAATATATGTGGTTGCGAGTATGTTGTAATATTTTAAAATTAATATTAACATTCTAAATCAACATGATTCAGCCCAAAAATTGTCAGAAAATTTGTATCTTTTGTTTGAAATTTATTAAATTCTCTGAAATACTGTAGGTTACAGTAGATTTTTTAACCCCATGATATTTTTTATGCAAATTTATTAGATATTTAACATTGTGGTTTCTTTTTGTATGTACTAATTTTTGACACTATGAGTTAGTTAGGAGTAGTATATATA